CGTTTGTGCGTGCCTGCTACTGAATGACCTTGTGTTTTTATGTCAATGACTTTATGTATATCAGTGAGATTGTTTGTTTATGAGGCTGTGTATCAATCATCTTGTGTCAGTGAGATTGTCTGTGTCTGCATGTGAGTATGCTTACTGTATAATTAAAAATTTTACTCTGAAAGGACCAATATTTTATATTGGAAAAAGCAATATATATATCAATCATCTAGGGTGGCAAGACATAGCCTTACATATTACATGCAACAATATATGGCGCAATGACTTATGGGGCTGGCATAGATTTTTTTTCCAGGGCTGCTTTGGAATCTCCAGTCCGGCCCTGCATACAGGAGGCTCTTGCAGGGTCTAGCAAGCTATTAACCTAGCAGGAGATCAGAAAATCTAAATTAAACAGAACTTGCAATACAGGAAGGGTAAACTTTAGATGACTCTTTACAGGAAGTGTTTAGGAAGGCTGTGCAAGTCACATGCAGGGAGGTGTAACTAGGGTTCATAAACGAAGTGATTTAACTCCTAAATGGCAGAGAATTGAGCAGTGAGACTGCAGGGACATGATCTATACACCAAAACTGCTTCATTAAGCTAAAGTTGTTTTGGTGACTATAGTGTCCCTTCAAACAAATGTATTGACAGAAATCAGTGGGATACCCTACAATGTTTTGGCTATGATTGGTATGAGTGATTAGGACTCAAAAATGGGATGATATACATAGCTTTAAAGCAAAAACCAAAGCATTGAGTGGAGAGAATGAATCTGGCATAGTGGTGTGCCCTCTGTAGATATGTAGAAGTCAGAGAATGGGACAATATTAGAGTAGTCTAGTCATAATAAAGGGTATTAGGGCAGCATTGGAAAACAATTCATGCACAAAAAAACAGGAAAAGGCATAGAGCAAGAACACAGGCTTTTCCTACAGAAATGCCGCAAGGAATGTAGGATAAGCTTCTTCCTAATTAGGATTTTATTCAGCTGATTTTCTGGGATCTCCAAGCCCATTAGCTTAGGCCCAAAATAAAAGGATTTATCAAACATGGTTATGGTTTGAATAGATTTAATGTAGCGTGACCAAACTAAAACCCAGCCCTGCTGCTGTAGCTCAAATAATGAGGAAATGAATTTTCACATTATCCAGCCGAAGCCATCCAACATTGGACCACAGTAATAGGCTGCAAGTCGTGAGTGGGTTAGCTCAGCTCTTTCAGACTATTGTTGTTCAAGGTAGTACAGAAAATGTGAATGGCATCTTAATGAATATGATATCATCCTAGTAGGTAAACATTATATCATGTGTGTTTGCTCTTGGGGCTAGACTTTATAGACTGCCTTAAATTAGATATCAAGATATTTGTGAATCTGGTTTTGAATTTATTGAACAACTGACTAAGTAATAATGAACTTTTGGCCTAATTAGTGATTCTATATTGCTTAATTTCTTACCAAAAAGCATCTGATGTTAGAGCTCTAGATTTAATCCTAGATTTCACTACCCTCAAGGAGTACATTTTTGATATACCAAAATAAACTTTCAGTTTAAGCCAGCTCTCCGCATAAAATCAATATCCAGCTCTATGTTTTACAGAATGTAAAAATGAAACATAAAACATGCAAAACAACATTCTAGTGGTTGTGGTTTACTTCCATCAGTAAATAATTTCAACCACTTTTCTGCAACCCTCTTTTTGGGGCCCATTCTTCACAAGGGACCTTGTGCGAGCTCTGATATCTCTTGGAGGTGGTTCAGAATGTTTTTTTTCCCTTGGGATTTTGCTCCAATTTCTGTTGGTCCTAAGAAGATATACATTGTATTGTTATATATACGTATGTAGACAATGGCTGAGACACAAAGCACAATACTCTCTCCCAGCTCCTGGTTCTTCATGTGACCTGCATTCCATAAGTGCAGTGATTATGCTTTGGAGATTTAGGATTCCTTGGCTCCGGCTTTCTCAGCTCAGCTGCCTTTGTCAAACTCCTGACCGCCAATCCATGTTAGCCGCAATGCGAATCAGGAGGGAGATTAGCAATTCAGTACAATGATAGAATTAATAAAGCACAAATTAGCAGGGGGAGGAGGGTGGTAATATGGATCACAAGAATCCCCCTCCCCACCACATAGATTATCTACCGTGTGGTTGTAGTTGTTTATTGCTCAGGTGCTTAAATAGGGTACACAAAGAAAAAGTCCCAAATTTTAGCTTTTCATGTGCTGGTTTCCTGATAATGTTACCCTTTGCATACCAGAGTATTGTGAAATGCACGGCTCATACATATTTGAAATTGTTTGGGCTGTCTGTATTATTCATTCAACAAGTTTCAATAAATCTATACAGGACCTGAACTCAACTACAGTGTACTGCTAAATTACAGGTTACAATTTTTCATTAACGTTACCAAATAGCATTATAACCCCTTTCACCTTAAAAGTACCTTGGCTGGATTTTGGTAAATACATAGGGACACTGCAAAGTGCAAACACCATACCAATTTACACTGCTTTGCATAAGTAGTAATTCATTCATTGAAAGGGTCAACATTTTTGTAGCGTTACATCCTGTAAAATGGATTTTCATTTGGATTTTACGGTTTATTGTACATAGCATACATAACACTTCTAAGACAGTGAATGCTGTGAGGGTTCACACAGTGCAAGTCCCTAATGTGATCCCCCTCTTCTGAGACAGAGCCTGGGCTGGGGCTATATAATTAATGAATACTGTACCCAATCAGAAAACTGGTAACAGTGTTGTAAATAACAAAATTACAAAAATCCAATAACCACATGTATTCCCAAAAATCACCTAAATGCACCCCCACAACATGCACAAACAGCAAACCAAATGGTTTACCTAACAAATTATCAATAAGGTGTTTGGTACAAAAAACAAAACAAAATAACAATAAAATATTGAAAGTATAATAGTATAATTTGGAAGCATGCACTGTGACTTTAAATGTATTCTCTTGGGCTGTAGCTTTAAATTAATTTGTGCATAGATAAGAGTAGGAAACAAAATGCTTAATAATTTCTTCAATTGGTTGGGATTATTTGCAGTATCGTACATCAAAAGAACAAGTATATTGCATAAAGCCCTTTATTATATGCGCTACAATGTAAATAGGCTTACAACAATACTGGTTGGACCTTTATGGTTTTAAACCCACTTTCTGCACTTTTAGTATAAAGTTCTGCAACTGTACTCTGTATTAGTGCAGAATGTCCACAAATTCTGATCACCGTCTGTGTCCATTTTTTTTTGCTTTCCCTGGAGCCTAGTTTCCTTTTTTTGTTGACATTTTTATTATAACTATGTGCAATACAATGCAAACAATGTGTCGGACAACGTTAGTGACCATAGTGAGGCACAGGATGTGCCAGATTTACATTGCAAGATTGGTAATGCATCTTGGTTACTTGGTGCTAGGCGTTCAGTGGTAAGTCAGTATCACAAAAAACAAATGTAAACAAACGAATAACATAAGAGTAACCCAAAAGACAAGTGCTAATGATGGGCGTTATGGTTGTCATGTCATGTTCTAACTTTCACTCATATGAGCGAGAATACAATACTATCTTACACATTTTGTATTCTAGTCTCTGGACATGGTGGAGGGCCAACAAGGTAGTCTGGGGTAGAATTCAGCGTTAACAATATCCCCATCAGACCTGTGCTATCTCAACTGTGGTTGGAACTGGAAGCGGGACATGTTCCACTAATATCAGAGGAGTGATGCATCCAAGGCTTCCAGATGTTTACATGTTGATTGTGAGAGTGAAAAAGCAGTTAGTTCTTCCATTTGTCTAATGTCGCCTACTGTTTGTTTCCATTTACACACTGTGGGGATATGAGGTGATCGCCAATGTAAGGGGTTAATTAATGGCTGCCTTAATAGTAAAAATGGTAAGCACAACTTTTTTAGTTTGCTAAATCCCCAGTGGAATTCAGTGTGTTCCAGGAGGGTTTCTGCAGAATCAGTGGATACTTGATATCCACTGATTATTCGGATGAGGGGAATAACATCAACCCAGAATTTTTTAATTGGGGTACAAGACCACCAGAAATGAATGATGGTGCCCCTATCCGTCTCACACCTTCAACAGGTATCAAGAACAGATCGGTTCCATTTGTGCAATTTATCAGGTGTGTGATACCATCTTATTAGAAGCTTAAAGTGACACCAGAGTAACTACAGCCTAATGTAGTTGTTCTGGTGAGTATAATCATTACCTGCAGACATTTTCATGTAAACACTGCCTATTCAGAGAAATGCAGTATTTACTTTGCCCCCTAGGGACACGTCCAGTGGCCACTTCTCAGACGGTCACTGGAGCTGCTTTTAGGAATACATGTTTGTGTTCTTGACCCTATAGTATTAAGTCGTACCTGCAGATTTTTGGAGCATGTTGCTAGCGAGTATGTGATTTGGAAGATTTTTTGCCACTGGTGTATGGTAAGGGTCATGCCTAAGTCTAGTTCCCATAATTTTGGTGTAAAAAGGGATAGAGCTTCCCAGATTCTGTAGTGTTCTATATAACTCCAATAGCAATATTTTAGGGCGTACGTGTGTGGTACAGGCTTGTTCAAAGACCGTTAGTGGTCGTACTGTATTTTGTAGGTAGTGAATGAGATGATGGTATTTAAATCTGTCGATGAACATAGGTTTTCCACTACAGAAATAGGTTTCCACGGTTGGAAGTAAGTTAGTATTAAGTATGTCTCAGTTGTTCATTTCCTTATTTTCTGTTTTGATTTGTTGTGATGGGATACGTTGTGAAAGCAGCTTTCAGATTTGTTTGCAGGTGGCACCCCTGTCTCCCCTTCCTCCCCTTTTCTATCAAATATTTGGTTTAGGATCTGCAGCTTATAGAAGCAAGATTGGCTCTGTTCTTACTTTTTTGTAACAATGATTACATTAGCATAGAGAGTGAAAAAGATGTCTGTTACATATACCTGTTGTGCCAATATGAATGCCTGTCTTGATGCTAATTGGTAATGACCCTTAGAGAATATTTGCAAAATCTTTTTAATTTTTGATTGTATTTATCTTATTGTTCTTAGGTAAAATATGGGAATGTTATACTCTTGGAGTATTGTACGCAGTACTGAAGATCGTATCTCCAGAAGGATATCGATACTTTAGAGAGAGTTCAGAGAAGGGCTACTAAACTGGTTCAAGGATTGTAGGAGAAAACTTACCAGGAAAGGTTTAAGGATCTTAAGATGTATAGCTTGGAGGAAAGACGAGGCAGGGGGAAGGGGTATAATAGAAACATTTAAATATATAAAGGGAATCAACACAGTAAAGGAGGAGACTATATTTAAAAGAAGATAAACTATCACAACAAGAGGACATAAAATTAAATTAGAGAAGCAAAGGTTAAAAATATATTTCAGGAAGTATTACTTTACTGAGAGGGTAGTGGATGGATGGAATAGCCTTCCAGCTGAAGTGGTAGAGGTTAACACGGTAAAGGAGTTTAAGCATGTGTGGGATAGGCATAAGGCTATCCTAACTATAAGATAAGGCCAGGGACTAATGAAAGTATTTAGAAAATTGGGCAGACTAGATGGGCCGAATAGTTCTTTTCTGCCGTCACATTCTATGTTTCAATGTTTCTATGTTATGTATGTACTTGTTTCTTAAGACTTGAATAAAGGATTCAGAATTTAAAAAACAAGTAAATAAAAAAAAAATATATAAGTCTATACCCCCTTAAATCAGAAGAAGAGGCTCCAAACTGGTGAAGCCTTTTCCAGTAAGCTTGAACTTTAAAGGGACACTTTAAGGTTAAAAATAAATGCATTTATTTCTAACCTTAGAGAGTTCAGTTGGATATTTAGATTAAAGGCCCCTTTTTTTTGAATAAACAAAATAAGTTAAAGGGACACTGAAGTCACCCAGACCACTTCAGCTCAACAAAGTGGTCTGGGTGCCAGGTCACCCAGGTTTTAACCCTTCAGATGTAAACATAGCAGTTTCAGAGAACTGTTTACATTGCAGGGTTAATCTAGCTTCTAGTGGCTGTCTTCCTGACAGCCACTAGAGGCGTTTCTGCGACGCTGGATGCAAAAATCGCATTCAGCGTACAGAACGTCCATAGGAAAGCATTGAGAAATGCTTTCCTATGGACTGTTTGAATTTGCGCGTGGCTCTTGCCGCGCCTGCGCATTCCGCTCCACTCAGGAGCTGATGATAGCGGGGGAGGAGAGGGACTCCGGCGCTGGATTAAAGTAAGTAACTTAAGGGGTTTTAACCCCTTCAGCGCCAAGGGAGGGGGGCCCTGAGGGTGGGGGGGACCTAAGGGTTATATAGTGTCAGGAAAATTAGTTTGTTTTCCTGACACTATAGTGATCCTTTAAAAAGCGTTAAAGTACACCTGCAATACAGTGTCAGGTTGCTGCTCTGCCTCTTCGGAAATCACATCCCTCCCCCAATCAGATTTTTCTCACAGAGAAGCACTGAGTTCATTGTTTCTCTGTGAGACGTAATCACAGGTTTCAGCATCACTGAAAAAGTGCCTCTAATTGTCAATCGAACAGCCACTAGAGGCATGTATATGGCAAAATGTAAACTTTGCCATTTCTTTAAACCGTCAGTTTACATTGCAAGATTGCTGTGACAGGGTCTATGCAGTGAAACCTCTTCATTAA